TTTCTCTTTTCCCAGATAAAGCATTAGTAATACTAATTAGTCTGCTCGGTGTAAATCTATGCAGAATTAATTGCTATACTGATTGTTTGGATGTTGTGCATTTTATAGCACGATAAATTCTGTGTGCAGAGTCGTAATTGAAATCAGTGAGTACAAAGGCAAGCGGCTATCCCTTTGGCTAGCACGCGTCTATAGAATGCCTGCTCGCGTCCCACCCCGTAATCGCTTACGCCTGTCATTTCACTGCTGGGGACTCTCATCGCTGTCAGTCGTCTTAGTAAGGGTGACAACAGCATTTTTGGATTAGGATATAGTCTTGATTGAAATATTACGCCATTCCTATTAAATACAGGAAGAAAGGTTTGAAAATGTGCCTAACGCTGCTGAATTCAGCCTTTGTAATACCGGACTCACAACAGTTGAGGGAACTCTTCCGTGGATGTTTGTGACCACCTGCGGGGGCAACCTTGGGCCCTGTCTTACTACGGCTATTTCATAAAATGGGGCCACTGACTTGGCATTTCTATTACTTTCCTGCTTAGTGGCATATGATTTCATATTTGAAATAAGCATATATGTGTGAATGAGAAAAAATGTGAGCTAATTGCTCAACGTTTTTAAAGAAGTATCAAGAATTCTGGCGGATTTAATAGACCCCTTGCATAACCGTTGGCAATACCTATAAGGAAACGCAAGAGGCTTGGATATGCTCTGTACGTCTTTAAGTAGGATACGCTCCGTACGGCTTTATGCAGGGCTGAATCGGCAGTCTTATTCCAGAAAACCTTGGTGCGCCTAATGACTGCAGATGCAGACACAGAGAGGTCATGTGTGCACTCATGTCTGAAGTTAAGATCTTCTGCCAGCTAAGTGGATATCTTTTAAGGACTTAATCCTATAACTAATGAAGTCAATAGGAGATTTTCAGTTGACATCAATGGACTTTGAGTCAGGGCCTCAAAGATTAAAGTAATCCTCTACTAAGCTTTCAGGTGGCTTCTGCTGTTTCACACCTATGTCCTAAAAAGTACACGTGTCTTATTTCACTGCATTACTCTGCTGTTGAAAACAATGAACATTTTAGCAAAACAGTCTTAACTTTTTTCAATGTTTCTACAACATTTTGTCCTGAAACTACTTATGGATCTCTTTATCATTTTTTTGTAGCCAGAAACCAGATTATGTGGTACATATTATCTGCAAATTTGGTGAGATTCTTCGTTGTTTTTTTTTTTTTAAATGACAAAAATAAAATATTGGTCAATTTTTAATATGGCAAAATGGGAAAAATTAGTTTTGATTTACTTCATGAGTCCCTTCTGTTTTTTTCTGAGCCAAAGATCATCTTTGAAATCGGACAGAAGATCAAAATGGTATCATTCCTAATCAAACTGATATACAGTTAAACTAAAGGATAGTAAATTAAAATGCATTAATGTATTTTAAAGGATTTACATAATTAAGGAAAAATAGGCAGAGCAGAATGTCCTGGGAGTTGTTTTCCCCATGTAGACCCAATCTTATAAATGCCTATTTCCTGGATGCAAGTAGAATTACATGTATGAATATTTATTTTCACCTTAATGGGACTTTACACCTGTGAAAAATGACTTGTTCGTAAGTGTTTTCAGAATCTCCAATTTGCATATTTGGACATGAGAAGGTCCTCGTTTCTAGCCCCAGATTAGAGAAAGTGTATACTGAAAAGCAACATTTCATCATCCCAGGAATATCGTTTGGCTTTTTACTTGAGGCGTCCGATTATTGGATTGAAATCTGTAACTTTCTGATAAGCACGGTGACTGTATAGTGACCAAGTGCTTCCTCCCTTCCTCCAGCTTCGGTCTATCTGTCCCTGAGCTTCACCGCCTGGGGCTGAGCTGCTTGAGGCTCATACTCCTGGACTCTAAACGTCCAGCTCAGATACAGTATTAGAAGTCACTAGAAAATAACAAAATTCTGTGCAATGATCAAAAGGTAAAAACCTGAGCCTGCTGGGCAGCCTCTTTGACGGACGTGTCTGTTAGGCAGTTTCAAAACCAATAAGCATCACCTGCAGCACCCAGGGATTATGGACGTTTGCTGTGGTTCTAGAAAGGAAAGAGCTGCAAAGCCCAAATGTGGAGAAGTGAATGAAAGGAGGAGATAAACAGAGGTGTCATGTTGGCGGTATAGAATTTATATGCTTATTTATACCTAACTTGCACTTTGTTTACATGAAATAGAATAACCTGTGGGGATTTAAAGGTACAAAGGGTTTGCATCTGTGTCCTTGACTGTTAGTGGAAGGAATTTATTTCCTTGAGGGGGAGGGTTTGAGTTAATATTTCTTATTGGACTCATTACAAAAATGAGTTTACTGTTTTTCTGAAATGGAGTGAAAAAATTTGGAGCTGATTTGACATAACATCTTTTTGTCTCCCTACTTATCTATGGAGTAAAGATGTTTCTTGCTATATTCCAATAATATGCCTTCTTTCTGATCAGTGGCATTTAAAAAGAGAAAGATAAAGGTTTTCTGTCCCAAAATAATAAAATGAGGGTTGAAAACTAACAGACACCAGGAATAGAGTTATGTTTCTTGCAACAGGTATGTTTGTTCTCTTTTAACAGTAGAAAGCCTCAAAGAATGCTTGAAATGTACAATGTGTTGGGAACAGAGAGGCAGTATCTCCGAATAAAGGAAGAAATGAATAGAATAAAAGATTAGGAGGGAGACAGACAGAGACAGAGACAATATGAACACATACATAAAATCCCTTCTGGAGGCCCTTATCTAATTGCCTCATTTATCTCGTTTCATTTATAAGCTCAGTTTTATTCTGGGACACTCTCGGAGGTTGCGTGAGAATGGCTGCAGAATGACCTAACTGGCAACAGGCTTTCTACAGACCTTTTTTTTTTTTTTTTTTTGTATGCCAATTCTCAGGGCAATTACTGCAGTTGCCCTTTTTATATGAGCATCTTGGGTGGCTAGGCCTGGGGTTTACTCACTCTTTTTAATAGTATAATTTCTTTTGATAAATAAGCAGCTAGGATTTTTTGTGTCTTTTTTTGAGAATACTTCTTTTCCACTGGGACTTCCTATGTACCCATGTGGGCTTAATGCAGATGCTTGCTTTCACATGATATAAAAGATGAATTAAAAATGAAGCAAAACACTTTCCAGAAACTATCTCCCCTCTCCCTCTAATCTTCACTTGTATTACTTCTCAGATTCGAAGTTTTGATGGAATGACTCACACAGAAATTTTTTTCAAAATAAGATAAACTGAAGTATTTTGCTTGAATTTTGAAAGCAATTTTCTGAGTGCAGCACAGCCAATGTGAGTTTTTTGCCATTGATTTGAATGAGACCTGGATTTAATTCTTAGCTTTTACCAGAGTTTTATTGTCTGGTTTCACTAGTAAACGAAATTGTCTTTATTATTAAGATCAAAACTCTAATATCATTGTTATCCCTTCTCTACATGACTATGGCATACATATTACTGGGGATCTTCAATTTAGGTAGCATCCATGGTATTTTTTAAGTCTCCAGGAACTAAGCAGTGAGAAAAGAACCATCACATCTCCCCAGCTGGGTGTTGAAAAGAACGCGTCACAGTGGAGTTAAAGTTGGGTTTATTTTTAAATATATTTCACGAAAGAAAGTGTTAAAGATGTTATCTCTGTCAGATATTTAAACGTTGCTAAAATACTTCAGCGACTTTCTTGCTTTGCCGATTATGAAGAGTGTAATAAAACTGCGCTATGTGACAGATTTAGACAGCTGGCTCATTCACAAGAAGTTCACATTTTTGTCACCCACGTTGAATGAGGAAAGATTAGATGCTAAGGTCAATTTACAAAAATGGTTGTCAGGACATTTTTTAATTGTAAAACTTTTTTGTGGTGGAATTCAGGGAAAAGACTAAAGGCAGAAAGCAGCGGAGACAAAGAGCTGCTATTAACCTACAGATGCTACCGCAGGGTTCATTTTAAGATTGGTCACACTGCTTAGCCAATGAAGTGTTCGTGTGACTATAAGGGACCACCCTTTTCTGGGGTGAGAGGGCAATTTGGTCTTCATGCTCATTTAATCCCAAGACGTCTTTCAATGGACTGTCAGTTGAATCTACATTGTGCAAAATTATGCATGCACTTTTTAACGCAGACCATTGTTCGCTGAGCACTTAACCAAGATTTCTCAACCAATTTCCATTTGGCATGAGGTCACTCGAAACCCAGGCAAACATATATGGAAGGCAAATGTAATTTTCTGTTCCTCTGAGCTGGAATGCGTAAGACAGAGAAATGCAAGTATCAGTCATGCTGTACTTTCAGATTTACTACTCGCTAAACGAAGACTGACAGCTTTCTATAAAGGAAAATTCATTGCATGCCACTGCCTCGGAGAGGTAATTTTGCTACTGGAGAGTAATATGGCTAAAGTCTTTTAGATCTTATTGCCTAAAGTGTTGTAAATCGTTGACACGTGAGCAGCTGCTTGTAAGAACCATGGGATGTGCACGCTGTGGCTACTCTGCTTTCTTTTCATAGGCAAGATTTTATAAAAGCCAGGTAGTGCAAAGGAAATCTGATCGTCAGTAAGTAGCGAGCAAAGAAGCTGCCAATAACGCCCTAGAGCTGGAGATAAGAGTTCTGAAGATACATCTCATTAGACTATTAATACTTTAGAAAACCTGACTATAGCATGTACACCATATTTATTGATACATTTACAAAGACTCAATTTTATGTTAGCTCTTCAAGGAACATTTACATTTAGAACCGCATTTGGCGAGAATAGTTATACGTTTTGTACAAGTGACATCTTACACAGCCAACATGTGCTCATGTGACCTCTCGTCCAGGGACATTCCGTTCAGTGTGACAGAGGCAGCAGTCTACTCGTGTATAATCTGGCCTGTCCTGCGACAGTGAAAATCACTTTATGAACACTTTTAACATAGGCTGGAATTTTATTATGATTGGTTGGCGGTTGTTTTTTTCATCCGTCGTAAATGAATACAAGTTGACACAAGGATACATTTCTAGATTAGATCCACAACACATTAAAGAGTGTGTTTGCTCTCTCTTTCCCCGTCTTTCCAATTAAGTTGGTGAAAAATGTAACTTTAGTATTTTACAGGACATGGTAAAGCTGTCTCATCTAGGTGATGTCTATATTATAAAAATAAAATAAAATAATATAAATATGTAACATGAACCCAGTGCCCATTGTTAAATAAAATATATGATAAAAAGCAGACCTTCTAGGATGACTGGTTTTGAAATATGCGAATATAATTTAGTTATTAAACACTTGAAACAATCTTGATATTAAGCTGCGATAACCAGATTTTTGCATCTATGCTAGATAAAGAAATGCGTAACATTCTGTAATAGAGTTACATTGATGAAGGTGAAGGTTACAGCCTTACAATGAATTGCCTAGATAGGAATGCATTAAGGAGCTCTGAAATACTGTCTCATGATGTAGTTCAGTTCACCTTAGAAACTGTTACAACTGGATTTTATTAAGTCCAGCAGTTTTATACAGCGATGTTTGAAAGCTGCTCTCTTATTGCTATAATCAGATAGGTACAGACACGAGATTTCTGGGATGTCAAAGAATCCATTAAGACATCACAAAAGTCCTTTGATGAAAATGTGGTTTACAGTGGAATTACTTTGTAAACTATTTCTCATGAAGAAATAAATATAAAAAAAATTCCACTAGCTGTGAAACCGTATTTGTGATAGTGTGTGCATGTGTGCACGTATCGGATATGGGTACGTCTGTGGAGACGTACAGAAATACTTACACACATACTAAGAATTTATCTGCACATTTGTGGATATTATACTTAAATTAATGAAGTAAATCAAATCACCGGTATTTGTTGCAGGATAACAGTCTTTTAAAAATGACAGGATTCAAAACAAATGCCCGTTGAAAGTGTAGTTTCCAAATAGTCCCAGAAACTATACAATATAGCTGGTTAGATCCAGCAAATAAGATGTCATGTCTAGGATCTGATCAAGAATACCTGCCCTTGTCACTCTTCGGATGTTTCTATCCACTTGTTCACACTGGGGGCCGAGATAGCCTTTTTTACACAAGCATTTATTAGGCCTTACACAGACACCTCCATGTCGACAGGCTGGGTCACATTTTGCTGTGGGTAAAAAAAACAGCGATTTTCTAGTTTGTTCAGAACATCACAAACCAAAACGATACAATATGCATTCATTAAGAGCTTTTCTAAACTTATAATGATAAAGCACATGAATTAAAAATAAAATAGAAAGGACAAAATATTAGAAGTTTTGAGACTGTATTTTTTTAAGTTTTAGAATATTAAGGGGAGGAATTAATTTTGTGTGTCTGAGAGGACATCACCCAGGACAGGCTGTGAAACTCAAATGGCAGATTTTTGAAAATGTCCAATTCCCATATTCATGCTTGATTTTGGAGCACATAGAAGACCCGTCTCAAAAGACTTCAGGCTCCAAATGTCTTATCATTTGAAAACAAGACATACAGCACATCTAGATCTTTAAACAGCGGTGGTCTACCTCATCCCATTTCTTATGCTGGCAACCCAAAAAAGTCCTGAAGTTGGTGAGACATTTTAGCCCTTGGCCACCTCCAAGCTAGCAAGTACTGAATCTCGGGTAAACGCCTTTGTACACGCAGAGTTCTGCGCTACACGCTTTCCTGAGCAGAGCAGACTACTACTGACCACCGAGATGCACTCCTTTGGCTCTTGAATTACTTTACGTTTGGAACAAAATTGAATCCCCTTTATCAAAAAAAGAACCAGAGTATTTTTTTGGACAGCTTTTATCACTTAGTTTTCAAAGTTTTTTCCTCTCTCTTTAGCAGATGCCTGATGATTTACCTATAGAGTTCTAGGTTAATCAGCTTGCTGAAGTTTTTCAGATATAAATGCTGTTTTAAACTGCAGCCAGTGTTAGCGAAACTAACAATCAATAACTTTAGTTGTGGAAGTATTTTCTTCTGAGGTTCAGTCACAGCACTGTAGTAAATATAGCATATCTTTCTTTTTGCAGACATGTTGCTGTTTAATGTCATCTGTTACAATAAAGCTATAATATTGATTTACAGAGATTTGTAATACCCTATATAAAAACAGGTTTCTTGATTTTATTCATGAGTTTCTTAATTACACTAAGAGAAAACTGATGCCTCATTAGGTAATTTTTCATATTTAAATTATAATAGTAGCTTCAGGTCCAACCTAGAATATCTGTGTTACGTGCTGTGTGGGATACAGGGAAGAAAGATCCTTAGTCTACATATTTTCGGTAGCTTTGTTGTACATTGCATCTATCAAATTATCTATTATAGAGCTGTAATTTTTTAAACAAAACAGATTATTCGAAACCCATTTATGTTCACACTGGAGATGTTTTTTACTGTAGGTTGCACTTGGACGAGGGCTGTAGAATGGCCCTCATTCTCTAAAGGCAGGAAATCTCTGGCTGACAAGTGAGGACAATTGCAGTTGGGCTATTTGGCCAGATTACTTCATCCATTTCTGCAACCTGCTTTTGTTGCACGGTTGTACGATCAGGTCAGCTCCTGAATCTTGGCAGTAAGATCTATCATTAGTGATGTCATTCCAAATGAAGCTGCTCCTGCTCATCACTGAAAACCCGGAGGTTGCCGAATTTTACACTCCAGGCTATAAGGACCTTGTAGCTGACCGTGCTTCAGCAGGGCCCTCCTGAGTGCCCTTCCAACCTGAATTATCCCTGGTCCATCGTGTGATCCTTGCTTTGGCTTACTCTGTGATTCTTCTCCTCTTTTGAGTTCTACTGCCATTACATTAACCTTATCTCTTTGTACAGGCATCTGGTCCAACTAGCTGAGCAAATCTGCTCAGTCAGCGGACTGTGCTGATGCACTAATAACACCTCCTGGTACGCAGGCTTGCTCTGGAAGATCTGCAAAGGCCAGAGTTACACAGCTGAGACATAACCACAGCCTCTGTGAGACGATGATAGCACAGCTGTGGCACTCCAGGTTCATTCATCTCACCCCTACGGTGGCCTACCCAATGTCTAGTTTGATCACAGTCACTTTTTCAAGTGACTTTCAAAAGATACGCTACGGCAACAAGATAGGACTTAGTAAAAGCACTGCAATTAATGATGGATTATAGTGATGTTCTGATTATTGGCTGCTTTCTGCTAAGTTGTACATAGAATTCTCTTTAATGAACTGGAGCCATTTCGTTTTGTAGGATCAAAAGTAAGAATGTACCAAACCTAAAGTATTTGCATTAAATTAGTGAAGTGCAAAATATGCAACAGTGACCTGCAGGTCTGATTTATCTTCTTTCCTGACAAGGTACTCCCATTTGATACTGACAATGATAATACTGCAGGTGGAAGCTGAATGTCCAAACACGGAACGTGTTTTGATTGCATTTGCTTTCCTTTTACACTCTTGGTGAAAAAATAAGAATACTGTTGTCTGTGATATTTATGCTATTAATTGCATTCTGTAATGGTTCAATTGCATTAGATGTTATAACTGTTGCACTCGTCTAAAGACTTACTGTTCTCCTACAACTCACGAGAGCAGTATTTCTTTAATGTTGCCTTAGAACTGATGGTCAATGACATATATTGACAATTTCTCTCAGCAAATAAGAAAAAGCAAATTATGACATGTCACTGCTCTTTTCACTTGTTGCTATGAATCTGTATACAAACCAGTTCTGCAGAACTCTCCTTCCCAGCCTTGATTACAGCAGCATTTTCCTGTGGGAGTGCAGTGCCCGTTCCGACAATGCCTTGAGCATTCAGATGTCAGTGTCTGTGCAGACTGAGCTGTTCTTTTGCATTCTTCAGGGACTAAAGGCCTGAATAAAAATATACAAACCAAGCAGATAGTTAAAAGTCGGGGTCAAGGAGAAAAACTTTGGTTTTTTGTTAAAACGCTGATTCCCTTTTATGGTATTATCAATGGGAGAAATCTGTGTTCTAAAAGGACTGCTTTTTTTCTCAGAACCACCAATAAGCATAGAGATGATGCATTACATTACAGAAAAATATAACTTCTCATATAACTGCCCTCAGAGATCTTCTACAAGATTAAATAATAGTCCTTGAGGATTCTTGAAGCTTGAACCTGGCAAAACCAGCTTACTGAAGAGCGTATTGCAGGCAGCATGTGTCTCTAGATAATATCATTATTGTGTGGCTTTTCTTCAGAGAGTGCAAATAGTCATATAATTCAGTCCGGAATCTGATGGTGTCTTTTTGCTTTTCTAGCTGATTTCTATTTCCGATTGTATGCTGGGAAGAGTAATCTGAACAGCAAGTTTTATGTCACACATTATGACACGCATAATAATTTTGTGAAAGTATTACCTCTGTCTACGAATTCAGTTTGACATTGCAGACTTTTTATTTCCATCTTTTTGTGAAATCGTATTTGGATTTTGCATTCCGGATACTTATTTAAGCACCTGAACGTGAGGAAAGACTTTTTCTCTATGAGGGTGACTGAGCCCTGGCACAGGTTGCCCAGAGAGGCCGTGGAGTCTCCATCCTTGGAGATGCTCGGAAGCCGTCTGGCCACGGTCCTGGGCAACCAGCTGTAGGTGGACCAGGTGCCCTCCAGAGATCCCTTTCAGCCTCAACCATTCTGTAGGTGATTCTGTGAAATGGATGCATGAAGGAAATTCTAGTTCAGCTGACTTAAAATATTTTGGACGGGGTTTTTTTGTTGGGCTTCTTGGTGTCAAGGCTTACGTAATGCAATTTTTTCTGTCAGTCTCTACAAAATATTTTGGATGTGCAGTGGCCGCCTTCATTTACAAAAGCACAGCGCTATCTTCCTTAACAAAGAAGGAACTGTAGTGTTCCTTCTGTAGTGTTAAGTGTGTGAAACACTGAAGTGTTTTAACTTAAGCCTGCCCTAACTGTTGAGATGACTTCCAATGCTTTTTTGGATGTTTATTGTCTTTTTAAAAATTTAGGTGTATGTCATCATACTGACCGCTTATTTTATTTGCTGTCTGAGTTTAGCTGCTGGAGAGTGATACGATCATCACAAGGCTACATATTCCCAATAGAGGTACCATGTTTTGTCTCTGCTGTGGGTTTGATTGCAGAGAAATAAGTTTAGAAAAGAATGTCAGGATCTCCCAAGAGATCTAAACAACTAATTGAAGGGGACCATCATGGCAAATTAAGTTAATTAGTGACAAATATGAAATTACTCATTCTCAAGGAAATAATCTGAACTACTGCCATGCGTTCCTAAGCTTGAAATTTGCAGGACAAAGATTCTAATAGTTTTGTGGAGAGCTCCGAGAAACCTTTGCTAAGTGTTCAGCTAGAATCCAAACAAACCAAACCGAAATTGTATGAGATAGAATAGAACAGAAAATAGCATTGTTCCTTATACTGACATCAGTATTAAACACTTAGTTACATGCAAATAGTTGGACTAGCAACTTGTGCACTGATTACCCTGTCAAATCTTAGAATCCTAGATTGATACTCCTCTGTGGAGAAAAGGATTCTCTTTGGAGTCGGAGAAAGAAGGGGTATGATGGAGGTGTGGAAAACAGTGACAGAAAAAAAGAGGAGGAAAATGGGGCATTCTTGTTTATCTCCCATTTCAACATCAGAAGAAACATCGAGGGAAAAAATTAAGCTAAAGAAAATAAAATTAACTAATTGAACTCATGGCTTCTAAGATATCAATGAAGCCCATGTTCTAGTAGGATTTAAAAAAGATATTTCTATGCACAATGGGGCCATTCAAAGTAATATTAGATAGGGTAAAAATAATTTTTAAGAAAAATAAGCACTCGTTCCTAATGTGATAGAAGTCCCTCATAGCTGACTGGGCTTATATTTCCCCCTCCCCATTTTGGCATGCAGCTTGTTCATGGTACGTTACAGGGTTTCTTGCATTTTTCTTTGGAACAGAGTAATAGAGTACAGGCTCACTGGTTTGTTTCACCGCAGCACTTTCTCTGCTCAGTCTTAATTGCTACCATGATTATTTAAACATCCATACAGAAGAACTGGTTCCCCAAAGATGTTAAGGACAGAAAGAATGTGTAGATGCATCTTTAGTGTAGCACCAAGTTCTGATTTCAAAAGCACTTCTGAGAATCAGACGTAAGGTCCTGTATTATTTAAGGACTTTGAAACATGTTTTGACACCTTTTGTGCAGCATATTTGAAACCCGTTCAGTTTTTGTGTTTACATATTTCCACAGCTGTCTTTTAAATATAATGCATTATTTTTTTGACCTGTAAGGAATTCCAGTTCTGTAGTAATGAGTGCATTACATACGATCTGGTTAAGGAAGTTCCTACACTTAAAAATTATATGCGAGATTCACGGGCAATGCTGTTTTGGAAACAGTTCTACAAAATGATATGATTTTCAGTGGGGACTTGTTCAGATTTAAAGTAAAAAGACCTGTCTTCTACTTCTTACCTCTGGAAAAAAGGAATAAATCTAAATTTGAGGTGATTTCTTTATAGCCAGCTGCATAGGAGACAACATTCTTTCTTCATCTGTCTCTGTTAAAGCCCGTTTTTTTCAAGTTACTTTAAATGGGAATCTTCTCTTTTCTTGCTCAAACACAAGTACAGTACTGTGTTTAGCAGGAAGCATAACCTCAGGCTCCTGGAGCATCTCTTGGAACAGAGCTTCAGTGGCATATCTTTAGCAAAGAATGACCTCATAAGCCACAGAGATATTTTATTTGTGAAGATACTGATTTATTTTATTAATTGATGTAAAGCAGTTATCTATTATAGTGCTGGAATATATGGTTCTTTTTTTATTTGTGTTTAATTAGGGAGGCAGAAATCATACTTTTTTGTATCCAGCCAAGCGTGGCTGGTCACTTTTATGATTTAAAGTTTTCTAGTGCTCTTGGTACTTGTGAATATAACCTTGCCTTTTATTCTACCATCAATCAATAACTTGCACTCATCAGCCTCGGATAATATTTATTAATGGTGGGGTGGAGTAGAAACAAAGATGGAAAAAATTCTGGTTGGCAGAGTGCCTTAGGAGAAGAGGAATACAAATGCAGCTGCAGCAGAATCCTTCTTGTGTGTGAGAAGAATTACTGGTTTTCCTTAGTTGTGCTATGGGAAAAGCCACGCTTCTTTCTCAGGATTTGAATGCTGGTATGGTACCAACACGTATCAAGAGAAAGCCTCTGCCCCACCATACTTACACTTTGCATTCTTAAGGCTTTAAAAGGGTGGAAATTTTCAGGCTCAGCATAAGTTGAACTGAATCTCACAAAGATAACAGAAGTCTTGAAGCTGACTGTTGGGACTTGATCTTTCCAGCACTTAGACAAGCCTATGATTTTGTTTATATAACTAGTGCTTCGCTGTGTCTCTTGACGTGGAAAATGGAGGGGAATAGATGGAGCCACGCTGTGGGCTGGAGAGAATTTTTCTCCTTGCCTCCCTCAATCTATAAAACTCTAAAGGGTGCAGCTTGATTACTCTTACAGTAAGCACTATTTGGTCCACAGAAAGTCAGCCAAAAATGTAGCTGATAATGACTATTTATACGGTCTGTACAATTCTAGTTATCTTAAAGAGCTGTTCATATATACACTACAGTACAGTACATCTTGCTTGTTAAAACATGCTTTCATGAAACTGTATAACAACTCGAAATGTATGGAACATGAAGGAAAAGTTGTACGGGGGGCTGGGGCCCTCGCTGGGTCCCTTCGCTGACGTGGGCAGTGAGCTGGGAATTCTTGACTGTACGATGTGTAAAATAATTTTTGCTGCATTACTGTAGCTAGAATAAGAAATTTGCCTCTACTGTTAGTTTAGAGGCATGTAAAAGTCTAACATGCTTTCACAGATTAAAGCTCATCCTGCAACTGCTTAGGATTTCTTGCTTCCTTTAGTGCATCTCTTCCCAGTTCCGCTAAACGCACAGAGTGATTTAGTTGCTGTATGCGCTAGCCTGTAACTCAGACATACATAAATCAATGCAAATGGAGGGTCAAATTCAGCAGTGATACAATGGTACTGAACAGAAAACAATTCCTCCATCGTGCCTTTGACACAATATCAAAAATCTCTCCTTTCCCACTAAAGTGAGAAAACACCCAGACCAAATGCCTGGATGTTCAAATTTGAACAAGAGATACGGCCGTAGAAATCCTGCTTGTGGTACAAAGTATGTGGAAAGAATGTTTTGCTTCAATTAACTGCACACAAGATATTAGGCATTAGAATGATGCTTATCACCATAACTTGTGCATTAGTTGTTTGGTTTTTTTCCTTTTTAAGGGAAAATGTCAAGAAAAAATAATTCAGTTTCACTACTTGTCATAGACTAAATTTAATACTTGTCATAGAATAAATACAGCATCTCTTCAGGTACAGCTTCTAAAATTAAAAAGTATACCTTCAGTCCTGGGAGAGATGCCAAGAGCTCGTTACTTGTCTCCAAATTTACTACATGGGAATAATGTGGAAAAAACTCACGGCTTTTAAGATTTAAACTCAGCAGCATATCAAATTTATTCTTATATGGTATACTTGTTCATGACCTCTAGTCTTAAGAAATTCTGTCATGTTTGAAAACTAGTCCCTAGTGAAGCCTGTATCAATGTTAATAGCTAAGAGGTCAATGCAACTGCTAAACAGTTTGTATTACTGTCAGGGTGGTCATGAAAACAACACCTGCTGCATGAGCACTTGGCAGCTGGGTCAACAGGCACTGTGGGAATTTATCAATTTAGGGGGCCACTTGCATAACACTTTGACTGATGAATTGGGAAAGACTGGCTTACTGGGCTAAAGCTGCTCTATTATGTATGACTTTCTTTAGGATGGCAGAGGC